AGGACAAGCTGATGGCATAAGATGTAAGTACAACTCCTCCGGTTTCATATGCAAAAAAAATTATTGCGCTAGCTCACGTGGTTGCAGTGCTACCAGGATTTAAAAATAGTTACGCAAAACGGAGCATGCCCGCTCTGACCGGTTTTAAAGGGTTAACCATGAGCTGAAATAAAAGCTGGTGCAACTCAATTATTCAGTCAGTTATTTAATTACCCAACATTAATTGGCATACAAGTAACATGAGAGGATGCCTACCTGCAGGCTCTCCTGAAAGGTGGAGGCCTGGTACTGGGCGTATTTGGCAATGGTGGTGTGTGAGCGGCTGCTCTCGCAGGGCCATGTCTGACTCGCGCCACTTGCATCCCAGTTCTCATCAGCAGGCTGCTGAACCTGAGTCCTCACTTCCACTGCATGGTCCGAATTGGCCTCCACCAGAGATTTGGTTGAGAACAGACCAAGATCTGCGATGGAAAAAGAAACAGAGAACGATAATTACCAGATAATTACAAAAACAAAACTTTTTTTTCCCTGTTCAATTGCTGAGATGTAGCTATGCAAATGAATTCAAAGCGGCAATCATAGAAGAGTGGTTGTCAAGCCATCACATCGCAGTTGAGAATACATGTTTTGCATTCAAATGTGAAAGATGAAGCAGGAAGTGTTATGTGGCTAACAAAATTTAAATGGGTTATATAGCAAGATACAGCACTATTAAAATATCCTCTACTTCTGTGACAAACCAGTTTTTTTATCTGAACAATCTGTGCCTAATTTTACCTTTCCTGCTTCTTGTGTGATGATTTGAATAAAACAATAAAGTAAATTTTTTAACAGTAATTAAACTTACTAAGGCGGAGGGAGCCAGCGAGGCCTCTGATGACCGTAACAGCGTTTTTGGGATCAGTGCAGAACTGAAGCAGAACCGGAGAAAAGGCATCCCTCTTGCTCTCCAACTGTGAAAACAGCACGGGGTAAACCATGATGAGATCTGAATGCAGTGTTGGAGAACATTTCTCTGGAAACCAGGGGAAAAGTCCTCACAGTAGGTTTGGAATTTGCAGATTTCTCAAACAAGGTGTGTTAGGTTAGCTCTCGCTTGCTAACCAATAAACGGGCCAAGAAATAGAACTGAGCTAAATGTTAACATGGAGATTTGTTGTATATCCATAAAAACTAATTGAACTGCAATCCATCCAGTTTTTTAAAATTTCCAAGAGATTTCATTCTTAAACTTTCAAAAGTTGAGAATGGCTAAGCTAGGCTAGAAAGGTTAGCAGGTTTTTGAGTTTAGGCTTAGCCTGAGAACATGATGCGCAGAACCAGCCTGTTAGCGTGGCTAAAAACAAGATTACTTTTGAAGTCTGGTTACTTGAGCTCCATAAATTAGCACATACTCACATAGATGCTTGGTGTAGGAGGATTCCGCTTATCACGAGGAATGGGGGTCTCGGCTGCAATGTTGGGTTTAACCGAGAATGCGGGAGGCAAATACGACTCCTTGAATTTCCCTTTCAGACTTGCCCCCCTAAGGAAAAAAAATGATACCAGAGCATTAACACTCATTAAGAGAAGTGAATAACACTCAGTGAGCTGGTAGCACATTTGTCAGCTTTATACTCACCTGCATGCTCTGATCACATCAGCGGCTGTGTTTGTGATGCTGATCTTGGAAAGTGGGATTGGGATTCGGTGCTCCTGCACCTCTGATATGTTGAATGTCTGCCTTCCGCCGCTCTCCACTTTAACCAAGAGGATCTTCAGCTCCTTAGACAAGCCCATGGACAGCGCTTTCAGTTTCAGTGGGTCCACTTTACTTGCTGGTGCAGGACGATCTAATTTGGTTGGACTTGTTGATACAGCTGATGTTGAATTTGAGGTGGTAATGTCTGTATTTCCGACTACACAGGCAGTCTCATTAACGAACCCTTTCTTCTCATCTGTTGTTGCATTTGAATTCCCAGTGTCCATTTTTTGTCTTTTTATATCTTTGCCATTTGGGGTTTGATTTTCCTGAGGAGTCTGGCCCTTCATGCTGTCTTTGACCGGTCTGGCTGAGAATGAAATAACTGGCACTGAAGATAAAGCATCGCTGTCTTTTACATCGGGTACTCTACTTGTTTTAATTTTACAGCTGATGACCTTATTTTCTTCTCTCTTTATCTTAATCTTGATCGCTCCCTCTCCTTTCCCATCCTTTACCTTCTGTTTTCTCTTTTTCTCTTTGCCTGCACGTTCTGTCTTTGTGCCGTTTCCACTTTCTTCCTTGGTAGAGGGAGCTTGCTTTACCATCTTCATTACTGTATGTGTTGTGGTCAGAGTCAGCTCCGCACTCAGTGCCCCATCCAAAAGAGTCTCCGTCCTCTCCATCGGGATTGCTGCATCCTTGTTGTCTTGTTTCATCACATCTTGTACATAACTCTCATTTTCCTCCTCTTTTTCCTGCACCATTGAGCTGGTGGCTGGCTTACTCACATCTGTCCGACTGTGGAATTCTTCAAGTGTGTCTGAGGTAATGTGAACTAGTGATTGATTGCTGGGTTCGGAGGATTCTGTGGGATTTGATGTAGGGAAGAAGTCCTGACTCTCGGGGCAGTGGATATCTGGGCCCAGCTCAAGAGAGGAAGAGTACTTCACTCCATTGGCATCACTAGCAGGAGGACCGCCGAATGGACCACCTCGGCACGCGACCCTCTGGCTGGCAAGTAAGGTGGCCAGGCTCTCAAAGACATCATCAAGACCTGCGTCATCATTGTGAAACTCATGAAGGGGAGAGCCAGACAGCTTCCTGCTGCTGTCCATCATCACTTCCTTTTCTTCCTCCAGAACTTGTTCAATTGTACAAGGTAGATCGGAGAATTCAGACATGCTGCTGTGGGAATAATCTTCTGCACTCATATGATCAATGCTTTCACTCTCTACAGGAGGGGGTGAAAGACATTGAGTGGGGCTGAGCTGGAGGACAGGTCTGCTTAGTACACCTTTCTCTAGCTCCTCCTCATCATCTCCAAGATCTGATACTGGAGATCCCTGCCAGCTAAGCACAGGAGGTGTGTTGGCAAGGTTGTCTCCCGTTTCCCTTAAATTTCCCATCACAGCCACAGGCTGAAGGTCTGGAGCATTGAGAACTCCTCCCTGCCCACCTTGCTGCTCTAAGCCAGACGAGCACACAGTACTGAGAGGCGCTAAGGCTTTAAATAAGAGGGAAGGGAGTGTGTCATCTGGCTTTGCTTTTGGCTCACCTTCTAGTTGGGTTGAGACGATGGTGGAACGCTTGCTGGCCTGGTGGTGGCTGGTTTTCTTAGGAAGAGGGGTTTCTGGGGCACTGCTGCTCTTTTTGAGCATTTTGTGATTTTCAGACTTTGAGGATGGCTGCTGTGAAGTGGGCCTGGGATGAAGGGTGTTTGTGGATGACCTATGCGTAATCTTTTCTCCTTTTTCACTCCTGTCCCTGTGCTTGTGTTTGGGTGGTGACTGGGCCTGATTCTCTCCGTTCAAAGTCTGCATTTTACTTATCTTGGCCTCACTTAGACAGGTGGAAACAGAGACGGAAGAAAACATTTCCTGTTCTGTAACTTTCATTTTGAGGGCTAATTTTCGTTCCTTCTTAGATGCTTTATCGCGTTTCTTTTTCTTCTCGGCCAGCCTTTTCTCCTCTTTTTTCTTCCGCCTTTTTCTGTCCTCACCCTTTCTGCCCATCTTCGGAACGTCACCCTTCTTCTCCTTTTTCAGCAGCTTATACTTTTGTTTGGATTCAGACTTTTTATCTTCTAACTCCCTCTCAGGCTTGTCCAATCTTGATCTATCGTGGGGAGACTGCAGTGAGCAGAGGAGCTGTGAGGTCTTCCTGTACTTGAGGTCCGAAAGCCTAGATTTTGAACCAGCGTGGGGTGTCGGAGATGTACTTGATCCCCGACTGGGTCTCGGGATGACACTGGGACTTTCTTGGAGCTTTAGCTGCCCACTGAGGCTGGGACAACGCGGCTGAATGACTGGTGAATCTTTTCTGCCATTGAGCATTTTGTCTGAAGAAGGACTGGAAGGAGCACCTGTACTGCTGGAAGTAGAACCTCCATTGTTCGGACCACAGAGTACAGATGAGTACTGAGGAGAGTTTACACCAGATTTCGAGAAGGAGGGGTCCCTTGAATTTGTCCGTTGATGAATGCGCTGATTCTCCTGCAAAATTAATTTTACATCAGTAACTTTAAGCTGTATTGTACTTACACTGCTTGTGTACATTTAAGGCCTTTACACACTAGACATGTAAAATTGGTTAAGTGTTAAAAATATTTTTCAGACTCACTTATTCTTGGTGCACGTGACTGTGCAAGTGACCGTGTAACTTTACTGGACAAACTTGTCATGTATTTTTTGGGACCAAGCTGAATTTTTGCCGATGCAAATAAACATTCTGACCAATCAGATCACTGAATCTGGCAAAAAGTGTGATTGTAGCTCAAAGCCCGCAACGGTACTGAATATGCAATGATATGTAAATAGTAAAATGATACTGTTTTACCTGTTTACACACAGCTAAACACTGTTCAATCTGCTCTCGGAAATTACTTCTCTGCCTCCTCAGATGTGGTCCAAACTCTGTCAACAAGAATTCCAACTACCCCACTGACATCCTGAAATATGTACGAAAGTGTTCGTGATACAGCTTGAACTCCCAAACCAAACCAAGAAATTCTCCCTGCTGCTGCCTTTATGTGAGAATTGGATGAGCTCAGAATCTCCTTTTCTTCCTTTTCTTGTTTAGAAACATCAGGATCAGCTCATCATCGCTTCATGTCAACTTTTTTTCATAGTGGGTTTTTTGAGAATTAATTTTCCGCTAAAATTCAGCGCTTTGACAAGTGGTTGACAAGTTTGCATCTGAAAAAATGTGGAATGTGTCACTTTTCCACAAAGTACTCAGTGTGTAATGGTCTTTAGGTTCACAATAAAACTGGGGATGTGGAAGAAAACACAATTATACTGACACTGATGAGAATCATTAATAATCGATTTAACTATAGGGTACTGTAGCTAGGATATACAGATCCCACTCTACCTGTTTAATATGTGTAAAATAGCATACTGAAATAAAAGTGTGATAGTAGTTTATCTCTTACTGTGCTTTGTTTGTGATAATGGTTCCAAGAGTCCTTATCCTCCAGAGGGTGTAGTGGGGCGTTGTGCTGAGGTGCTCTAGGCTGGCCTGTGTGCCGTTGATGGTTATAGTGATGGTGTTGGTGGCTGTAAGGCACACGGGTGTGGTCTGCTGGTGAAGATGAGATTTTCCGTTCGACCTTCCCTCTGCTTCCATAATGCGGTGGCCTCCTGCCGCAGCTCTGGTTGGATGGCACTGGGTCACTGAAGCCGTGTTTCCCAGCTCGCAGTTTAGAGGTTTCCTGCAAAAGTGAAAAACCAGATTTGGAATCAACGGTTGTGCCAAATCTGAGGAATAATACAAATTGTACATGCTCACCTGTTGCTGTTTTGTTGAGGTCCTGTGTTCAGAGTAGTGGCATGGACCCGCTCTGTCACTTGGAGGCTTCCAGTCGTCCTGGTTGGAGCGCTGTTGGTGAGGTGGTGATGGGGCATGAGCAAGTAAAGGTAAGTGCCTGGATCCAGTGTGACAAGCCTAAACAGATAAATATCCTTTCTTTTAAAAACTGCATTACACCAATAGGTGGGGCTGTTACACAGAAATGAAATGCCATGTAGCATATAAATGTGTACATGTAAACATAGTGACAGCAGTTGAAGTTGGCACAGTAAGGTCAAATGAAATTATATGACTAAGTTTAAGAACGCTGCTGCAATGTGTTTATTGCAAAAATATTAGAAATAAAAAGCCTTCAACAGTCCAGAGCATTTGGTTATCAAGCATTTCCAGGCATCGGCTTCAACCACCAAGAGTAAATATTATTCTGATGTCCCACGTCCAAGTAGACAGAGAAGACAGACCATTATCTTTAGTGTTTCCAGTGTTTCCAGAAAAACAAGACTTGTAGTCACCATGATGTACAGGTAGTGTTTAAGTCAGTTGGTTTTTGAGGTTAATAGAAAAAAACAATGTTGTATTCATAAATAAACAAACTGATCCATTCACGTGAACTTAAAACGAATCAACTAAACATACAGTGTTTGAGTGCCCGAGATGGACATCACCGATCTCACAAATTGAGTTTCCTGTATGTGGCTAGAGACTAGCTACATATGTAATAGTCAAAGTCCTATGTTTTATGGTCTGAGAAGGCTTCTCCTTCAACAAGCTAAAACACAAGGGAAAGGGATAACACAGCATCTGTATAAAATACCATCCTCTTCTTCCTCACCTCAAGCCTCTGCTCCTGAACCGAAGTCAGGGCTCTAACACACGAAGATGTACATAAACTTTACTTCCAGTTTTTGAGCCACTTCAAAGAAAGTTTCACTAGAGCCAGCTAACAGTAGCCAACATGGTAAAAAACGCTGCTAACAGCAGCCAAAACAACAGCGCATTGTGACACAAAGCCTTTGGATATCCTCAACAACTTATCTCAGCATAACTGCCATTGAACAGAAGTTTTACACAGTTTTACAGACATGGATACATATTGCACTCACCATAGATGAATTGAGGCCAGAGGTTTTGAGGTGACTTACGGGGTAAAAAACGTAAAACACTTTCCTGATTTCTTTCCGTGTTATTCAAATATTTTAAAACAAAGCATGTACAAAAATGCTTTTATACACAGATAGTAGAAAAAAAGTTGACCATAGCAGCTATGGGTTACTGTTTACATTGAATGCTTTTGATCTCTCTTGGCTGACCGACTGCAATCTCCTGACATCTAGCAGTGACATGAAAAATAAAATACAGGTTGTGTCTCCAAATCAAACACATTTACCTGATCAGGTCCCAAGTCTCTTCTCCTCTTAGCTGGACACTCATCTCGGGGGATTAATGGGTGCTCTGGCGGTGAACTGTGATGATGCGCTTGCTCCCGTCGCTGGTGGAGGGCTGGCCGTTTCCATGGTCCTGTTCTGTTGTTCACCATCCTGTCTGGGAAACTCCTGCGGGGGTCCGAGTGGGCCCATCTCTCTGGCGTGGTTCCCTGAAGCTCCCTATTGTTGCGATGCAGGCGAGGACCCCCGTTCTATTGGGAAAACAAAAACAATACAGTCAAGATTCATTAACTAATGACTTATCGGCAACACCTCACCACAAAGTTGCTGACATTGTTTTGCCAGTTTGCGTAGCGTTCCTCTGGTCCTGGCAGATAACCATTGTTGATGCCATCTCGGATGTGGAACGAATGGATGGAGTTGTGATGCCAGTTCTGGACCTCAAACTGCACCTCTTTACCATCCCAAATTCGCAGCAGCTGGCTATGCCCCTTTGAGATACCTTTGTCCGGGACATGGTTGATTGTTCTGTCACCCCTGTCATGAAAACAACTAAACTCAGGACCACGCTGTGGACAGGCATTAATGGTAATTACACCACAGTACAACAGAAACCTTTCTGGTCAATACTCAAATTCATGAGGGCATCAAGAGCTGTACTGTTCGGTTTCTCAATACGAGTGAAGCCAGCTTAGAGAAAATGACACTGACAAAAGCAGTTTCAGTAACAAATCACAGCACATAGCTCTCAAAGCTGGTCAACACAAACCCCTTTTAAGTGTGGTATTAACGATAAATACTTACCTGCTATAAATACGACTTGACAGAGAATGATATGGCTGTTTGCGCCCTTCTTGCAGCCTATAGTGGGGGACAAAAAAAAAATTGTGTTGTCTTAATTCGGTTCAAAAGATGTGACGCTTTTACTCGTAGCCTGAAGTCAGATTAAAGCTAATTTCTCAAATGTTTTCTGTAAATAAATGTTAAATGTAGCTCCCTGTTGCTCAAAGTTGCTCACAACTTTGGACATACTCAGAAATGAGGTTTTCCTTCACAGCGACTCTAATCCAGTTTTTTCCACAGCTTGTTCATCAAAGGTCTCTGCAAGAATAATTTAATCCCACTGCTTCTAAAATTTCTCCTGACATGCCTCCTCTTCAGAAAATGAAAATAGTTTACGGCCCACACCCCACAAGAAAATGTTTTCAAGGTGTTTTTTTTCTCTGTGAAATAAATGCTATCACCACAGCATTAGCAGAATTCTGTTTACTTATGTTAAATAAAGAATACTATATTTAGCTTTATGTTTTTACCTACAGCCCTGCAGTGGCTCTATGCTCCACCAGAGGGGCCTGATTAAGAACCACTAGTTTAACCGCACACGGTAACCACTATGACTCAACCAAACTATTTAAACTTTAAGTGGTGGATGCGCATAATAAACACATCAAATAAGTAGTGCAATAAGAGCATCAGGTTCATTTCTACATTACTTATTTAGATTACTGTTATCAGTTAGTTCAAATTGCTCTAAAACACTATATCCAGGCAGTATGTTTTTAAACTCTTGGCTTTGTATGATGTGAATAACAGCTGATATCCCTTATATGGTCATCTCATGCACAGCGCTTTGTCTGCAAGAACACACTCTCTACCTACCTGCTGCTATGAGAAGCAGCCAATCAGAAGCCAAGTTTGCTTGAAGGTAGTGGAAAGAAAACTAAAATTACTTGTTTCAGACATTAGATGAACTTGGCTGCACCAAGGCTCCATATAAAATGCATGAAGATTATTTTGATCTGCGAATCATGCAAAGCTACTGTAGCAGCTTTACCCTAGAAATAGGAAGAAAACTACGGAGCTGAAAACGAGCGCTTTCCTTTCACTTTTACTATCTATTTCTCTCCAAAAGCCGCGACTGCACATAGCGGCATGAGCTACAGTCGCATTCATCAGCGCGTACCCTCAACTGTTGCAGCTGAATAGCGAGACTTGAGTCTTGTGCCAACTGCAGCTGAAGATGCTGTAGTTTCATTCACCACAAGCCTGTCTGTTGAAACCGCACATGGGTTTATTCCCACAGCTGCACACGAAGTGAGAGCTTTTCATGAATATGCTCATCAGAGTTTCAGTTGATCAGTCAGCCACATAAAGTGGCTCTTATCTTGAGTCAGCCCAGACTACAAAAGGCTCAGGTCTCACGTGCTCAAGTGACCCTTGCTTGAGGAAGTTCGAGCATCGAGTTGTTCCACTACCAACGGCCGCAGTGAGCTTAAACCCAGAATCTTTTTTTAAAAGTCACATTGGCTTTCTTAACTGATGCAGCCTTAGTGGTTAATTTTTTTCATATCAATATGATCAGACACATGAAAATAGAAAAAAACGAATGTAGTATGGTGAGGCACATGCATAGCACATGTTATCTGCTGCAGGTGAATCACATGTGTACCCCTTAAATGAAATACTGTCCTGCAAGTGTTGCGTTTGTGTGTGGGTTTGGGGACGGTGCTGCTGACCTCTGTGTGTGGCTCCAGGGGCGAGCATTTACAGGAGCCCATTGTCCTTTGTTAGGTCCTCCAGCTGAGTAGGAGTCCCATGTGTTACGGCCAGAGTAGAGCTCTGCTGGGTGATACATGCAGCCTGGAACACACACACACAAACACACGCACAGAGTTTAATGTGTAAGTTGTGAAAATGCTGAATACACAAATCAACCTGTAAATATTTAAATACCCTGACTTCATGAAATGCAATTTCAAAATGATGCTCCTTTAAACTTTGAACACAAATTTCAGCATGCACATCCCAGGTATATGAAATGCATATACTGCATACATGCTGTATACGGTATTCAGGGTCCACTGCAATGAATTGTGCAGTAATTTTCATTTGAAGTTAATTCCTAAATTCATACCGCGTATATAAAACAGGGAGCTTTAGTTCCATGATACTTATACCTCAGGTTGATGCAGCTCTGGGTTGTAGTGCAGTAAGGACTTTGGGTGATAATAAACTCTGTACGGTAGCGGCAAATTGTGAAGTATGTCTGCTTTTAAATAGTCACGCACAAACACACCCACACACAGAGAGCACAGAGACAGACAAAAATATTTATGCGGTTACCAGTCTTGGTCTGTGTTTTGGAGGCCCTCCACTTCACACCTGAGAGCAAAAAAAGCAGTCTGTGGACAAAACACGTGGTTAAGTGAAATGTTCCGTTCAAGGCATTTTTCCACAACACTTGCATTTCTTCTGGCGTTATAAGAAGCTTTTTTTTAAAAAATCATGTGGGTTTGTGACTGAACTGATGCCACACTGTCACTCTGTGTGCTCCCGGTAGATTTAATTCTGCTCGCCGAATTTTCTGCTGCTGCACTGTATCTGCTCAGTGGTAATACCATCACTCAGCCAGAGCTGCACTGTGCACTCAGCTTCTCTCTAATCACAGCCACCACTGCCAGTGGTCACCCAGTGATGGGAAAAAAAAGCCCACTGCAGTGAGACCATGGGCCATGGCAACCTCACTTTGAAGACAAAGAAAGAAAAAAAACCCCATGGTGGCCTGCTGCATTTATTTTATCACCATTCCCTTCAAGCCATAAGTCCCTAATTTACTGACAGAGCTGGTGGTAGATGTGGCTCAAATCAGCAGCAGACATCCACAGTAGGAGTTCATTCTAGCCAGCTTTATCAGCCGCTATTCCAGGAGCTCTGCGTTTCCCTATATTCCTCCTAAGCCACAATCTATATCAAGTCAGGAGCTTGCTGCACTGTATCTGTCTTTTACAGTGTCTCAATTCTTATTTCCACTTTTGTGATTGCTTTCATTGCTTACAACAGGAAAGTCACACATACGTCTTTCATTAGCGTGGACCGAAAAGATCACTTACTGCCTCTAATGATGACACACTTTTCTTGCTGAAGAAAGCTTTGCTGTTACGGTGAGACACTGGCTTCATTTCTCACAATGAATGATGAACTGGCATGCAGCGTTTCACCACTTCCCTCACTGTGCATTAATTCTACTATAAGTAGGGTTTTTTTGTTGTTTTTTTCATGGTTCTGTGCGTGGTGAGACTGTTGCAGCTGTGTTATATTAACCTTTCTGTGAGTGCTGAATGAGTGAAGTAAGCAGCCTCTTCAAGGGACCATTTCCAACCAGTTGCTAGAGCAACTGAGGCCAGACAGTTCCTAATGCTGTAGCTCCAGGCTTTTTCAGACTCAACTGCATTTAGATGTATTTTTAGAGCACACTGAGAACACAACAGGTCTTTAAGCGTGCACACAACGTTGCACTGCTAGCATGCATCACAACAACACTGCATGCTTTCACTTTCACATACAGAGCCGGGTGACATCAGTCATCGCTGGGTTATGCTGTGCAGCAGATGCAACACATCTGGTGACATCCACCCCAGTCCTGCTAAAAATCTGCTGTTTCAAACGTCCGCAATTCCACCCTGCCTCTTTATCAGTAAAAATCTCCTTAGCTGAGATTTTGCTTGGTTCTGTTAATGTATTTTGAGTGTTTGTGACTGATCCCAAACAATTACTTGCATACAGCAGTTTCTACTTTTTTCCTACTTTCACAACATTTGCGGACAAAGTGCTGCGGTTGCTGTGCTTGCAAGTGATGGGGCAACGGTATGCAGACCCATCTGGTATAGACCCTCCCTGCTTACAGTGTTGTAGGGGGAGCCGTCAGTCAGCACCAGCTTGCATTTGACTCCACACAACAACGGCTCTGTGGCTCCAATATTAAACCCATGTGTGCAGGAGTTAATTCAAGACATATGGGCTGTAGCTGCGAGGCCACATGATGTCATGTGCAGAATGGGTTAAGTTGCTGCAGGTTAAACTCCCTTCACAGCAAGGTAGCCCAAAAGAAAGCGCACGCAATTCCAAAAGTGTAATATGTAAGAGCTGACTGTGTGAAATGCCAGGTGCATTCAATTACCACTGTACCTTTGGCCACTACAGTCCCCTCTTTGCTTTGGCAGTGTGTAACGTTTGTGCGCAGACAGGTAAAAAGCCTTCATTTGTTGACGCCTACTATTCACTTAAATCCACCATCTCCTTTCTCTTTCCATGCCACCAAAGAAGGACAGCCATGTAAACCCACATCTGGCTATTTGAAACCAAACGTAGAACCCATGTGTGTGTTTGTGCATCTCTTACACAAGTCTTACCTTCAAAATAAATGCTGAGAGAACAGTGTTGTTGGTGGAGTTGGGGGTGAGTGGGAGTGGGGACTTTCTGGTCCAAATTAGATGATGCTGTCAGGCCGGAATAGAAAGACAGCAGACCCGCGGAGTCTCGGATCCCTCTAAATAGACATCCTCATCCTTGGCTAGCTGGTAAACACACACACACACAGACAGACACACACAGTAAAAAAGGACTGAGGAAATACCATCGCCAGTTGGTGCACAGATGTACAAGATAAGGAAGGTTTTGTTTGTTTGTTTTTTTAAGAAAAAGGGCACTTCCATCTCATCTGTCCCCTGGGTACACCTGCCCATTCTCTTTCTTTCTGTTTTTGTTTTTTACAAAGATCTACATTGCTGCAAACCTGATCCCCTCTAAGACAAAGAGATAGAGAATTAAATGAGCTGTGAGCAAGAGGGGAGAGGAAGCATGGTTTGACAAGCCGGCAGGCATTCTTTCCTCCTGCCTTCCCCTCCTTGCTGGTCTGCCCTTTTGCCTTTGCTCTCTTCCTTACTTGTTTCAACAAGGCTCTTTTTTTTTTCTTCTCCCTCCCTCTTGATATCCAATATCCCACCCTTTCTCTCCCAGGCAATCTGTACGGCTCTGCCCATGCCTCACCCTTCCTTTTCTCTGCACGCTGTGTCCTTGTATCCCTGGCAACCAATGATATCATTTAGTCCAGAGCTGGGAGGAAGGCCTCGAGCAAGGAGGGGAGTTTTTACATTTGTGTGTGAATTTTGACATGGAAAGAGGGGGGGGGGAGCAGTAGGATTTAATGGATCCTGCCACATTTCTCTGTTCGCTCTCTTCAGGCTTGGGTGTTGTTTACACAGCAGCTCTGTCAGCTCCTGAGATCTCCAGAGCTTCAGAAACAAGCTGTCAAATTCATGCAAATCTTCCACCACGCCGACTGCAGTGACCCCGCTGCAGATGTGCAGATCTTTTTTTCCACCGAGGCTCCATCATGTGCATGTGTGTGCGTGTGTGTATATGTAGCACAGCTCCTATACCATAAAAGGAACGATGGGCTGCCTCTGGTGGTCTCCTATTGCTAAGCTAACACAGAGCAGAGACGTGAGGAGAACAGATGGAGGAGAGCGGACGAGCAACAATGTACAGACGAGAAACAAGAGACCGGGCAGGCACTCGTGCACATGCGTGATTTTATCGGACGCCGGCCTTAAATAGTGTCACCATCGCAGAGAAAGAACGTACAGTATGAGGCGAATATCAATCACATTTCTAAAAATAACCCCCAACACACACACACGCATACACACACACACCCCTTCTTGCTCTATCCCCCTTCTCCCTTTCTGTAACAGCAGCTTCTTCCCAGTGTATGCTCCATAAAGCACAGCTCTCCGAGGGGGTGCTGGAATGTACCAAGGCAAGGTCAAGAACAAGAAAGAGGGGTGCCTTTTGCAAACAATGCAAAAAAAAAAAAAAGAAGCTTTTTTGTACAGCTTTTCCCCCCCTCTTTAACAAAAGACTATGAAGCAGGAGTGAAGAAGACGCTGGATGCATGCATGAATGCCCGTGACAAACAGCTGGGTTTGTGGGAGAATGGTAACCTAGAAATGCACGTGCAGGTGGTTGCTTGCACTGATCCTTTCAGCTGAAAGCATACACCAGGTTCACATTACTGACAGTAACGTCAGCCTGCTGCTTTTCCTTTCAAAACTCACAAAAAGGGATCGCTTCTGTTATCAAACGTGACCCAGATATTTAGATGGAGTCAACGCATGGCCAAAGAACCACTGTGTGAAACATGTTGAGGGAAGTGAACTTTGAGAGGAGCCCAGCAAGTGACACAGTTCAGACCTGAGCTGAAGCCATAATTACAGCACTTGGTTGCACTGAAGAGCCTTACTACTGTACGCCTCTTTCCCTCCCTCCACGCTCACACAAGAGGATATTCAACAGTTTAAATGTGCCGGAGAGCACCGATGTAGCCATAACAAGAGTGTAACTGCAACAGTTCCCCTATCTTCAACCTCCCCCTCCCATCACATTTCTGCTCTTGCGCATGCTGTGTGTCTGCACGTGAGCATGTATGTGTGCATGTATGTGTATGTGTCTGTGTGTGTGTGTGAGAGAGAGAGAGGGAGCTTCATGCATGAACGTGCGGCAGTCTGCAGACACCACACACACTGCAGTATGCTCATCCAAGGCAGATCGTTCAGGCATAGTGACACAAATAACAGCAACAATGCACGGGGACAGAAAACAGTTACACTTCTCCTTCCACAGTGCTGTACACAAAGCGACACATTTCCACTCAGACATAAATGCACATCCAGTCCCCCCTCCGCCTCCCTCCTGCCCACCCGCCCGCGGTTCTCTCCTTTACCTTCTTTTTTTTTTGTTGTTTTTGTTTTGGTTCTCTCTCGTCGCACGCCCCTCTGTTCCCCTTTTTCCTCCCTTTCAACTCCTGGCCACCTCGTCTCTCGCACGATCCTCTCCTTTCTTCCCTCTTCTCCTCCTCTTCCTGTTTCCACTCCACTCCGATGCTGGTTCTCGCTCTCGCAGCAGACCCATCCATGTGCACAGAAACGACGGGGGCGGGCCGGCCGACTGTCAATCACGCGGTGCGAGCGAATGAGGCGCGCGAGCTTCTTATCAAACACACTTTGCAGGGTACGCGAGAGGAGAGGGGAGGGGAGAACGGCAGACAGAGAGAGAAATAAAGAGCCCCTCTTTATTTCTCCTCCCCTGTGTGTATGTGTGTGTGTATAACCTGGAACACTGCCAGTACAGTAGAGGAGATATTTAAATCTCTCCACAGCTGTAAAATAATCTTCGGAAGCAGAGAAATTGGTTATACATGCGTATTTATGCATAAATGGACTGGTAAGTCGTTTACCGTATCATGTCCCCTTTTCATATATATATATATATATATATGGAGAGAGAAAGAAAGAGGGGGAGAGATATTACACCAGTATAACATATCTCATGTGTTCTTGTTACAACATTTTTCCTCCCCCAAAACACTGAAAAAAACCCGCAAAGGCTCACAGAAGCACAGTTTCAGTGTGTACCGTGTAGGGGCTCAATACCCGCGGTGTTGTCTTTCTGGGTGCGCTGGAAAGTGAAGCAGAGCGAAATGGTGACAGAGAGGCTAGCCAGCGTTGGCTGAGCTCAAATGTCAAGTGACAGGATAACTGAGGGGAGGTGGAGCTACAGCTTTTGGTTCATGAAGGGAGGGTCTTGTCTTTGTGGCTTTAACAATGCAAAGCCACCGCTCACTCCTCTCCGCTCGTTTCACCCGTCGGCGACCAATAACGAGCAGGCAGACCTCTCAGCTGCGAGTGAAAGTGAGAGGCAGAGATGAAGAGGACGAGCAGCCAGACAAATGTAAAGAGTGAAAAGGTGGAATCAGACTGCTGGAAGATTTTTTTTCTTCCTTTTTTCCCCTGAAGTGCCTTAGCAACAGTCCCTGATCAGCTCAAAGTCTATTGGTCAGGGCTCAACCCCATGTGGGTGTTTGGACCAATGAGCGGTCTTTGCTGCAGAACTAAGCGGGGGAAAGTCTCACAGGCTAGCAATAACTGCTAAATTGTGCCCCCTGGTGGTTCAATGAAGGTCTACAATCTGTTCTCAAGTGGTTGGGAGCATAAACTCTAAGTCCTGTAACTTTTTTCTTCTTTGTAGTCTTGTCTGTCATCTTCAAAGTAGTTCGTGTAAATGTGGATGTAATTTAAACTTTGTGATGCATTAGTTTACCGTGACTATAACGGAGCAATAATACACTGATGCACAAAGTGGAGAAACAAAAGCAAAGACTGGAAATTAAAAACAGTTTGTCATCATATGACCATATATATAAACGTGATTTCATGCAGTTATCATGAGAGAGGGCTCGAGGAAAAGAGACGAGTCTGTAGTGCCTCCATGTGGCTAATATGTAGTATTGCATAATGGCAAAACTGCTGTGCGTTAGAGCAGATTGATGCTATAAATGCATTATCACTAGTAAATATATGTGTGTCTATGTTTTATGGAACCACTCTTGTTTTTAATATGATTGTGCAAACATTTTTAACTACTTTAGTCTTGTAATTTATTTACATTTGTTTAAAAAAGGTCTGTCTTGTAAATGAGACATTGAGTCTCAGTGGGATTACCTGTATCATAAAGGTTAAATAAATATGTATTTAAAAGTGTGTCATACATTGAATTGCTTTAATGTACTGCATTATATATTTATTCATCAATAATACACCATCATAAAGCACTTCATTTGTAATTAAATTGCTCAACAGCCATGCACATTCTTCCTGTATTCTGATCACATGTTCATTGCCTGTCTGAGCATCATTGAAACAGAGTGATGCTTCATGTTTGTAAAGAACTTTGTATGAAAAGTACTCTTGCCCTCTTTGATCCACCCCAAGAGACACACAGACATGCAGTCAGGCAGGCGGAAGGATGCCTGCTGGCTGAGATCTAGCACTGTTTCAAAAGCTTTTTTTTTTTTTTTAACAGTATCATTTTTGGCTGATAAGATTCTCTGTTAAATGAGTTTCTCTGCTGAACTAGAGCCTTGTTCAAAATTCACAATCTGACAGCACAGTTTCATCACACTGACCATTTTTCTATGAAGGGAACCAGACCGGTACTTTGGAGTTTCTGTTTCCTTCGAAGAGCAGCAGAGGGCAGTGGAGCCGGGACTACACACTTGGTCTGGATTTATAATTTTAATTGGTAAAAATGCTGACAGCTGAAAAATGTCCGTTCACATAACTGCATCATCAGCCCCGGCTACATAAGTTATGATTGTCATAACTCAAGATTAGATCAGAGAGGCAAGCTGGTCCCTCAATGAATAACAACACTCGGTCACTCAAATTGACTTATTAGGGCAGTGAAGGATTGTTGCTCCGGCTAATCTGACAGTTTCCATTTGCATAACACCGACTTTGGCAGAGGGCAGTATGGACAGCGCCACAAACTCCCGCTGCTGATGTGTAGCTCCTTTTATTTGCTTTGCATCGCACATTATTTATATGTGTGGTTCCCATCACTTCATATTGGACATACCCCGAAAACCCAAGTGTGTTCATTTGAACTGATTTTAATGAGAAAAAAAAAATCAATACACTTGTCTATATTTAAAATATGAATATAACGAACATTTTCCACGAATTGCTCTTTTTGTATGCTTTTGTATTGCTATAACAGAATCCGTCACCATCTAGCTCCTTGGACTGGTATTTTGAGATTATTCAAATTGTCATAAAAAAAGGCAGCTTACAGTAAATGTCAAAGCTTTTAGACGCCTCAGCTGCACATCCATAACTTTGAGCTTTTCACACACTTTCCAGTTCTTTCCATCTGCAAAAGGTGGGTACAGGTAACCCTGAATCAAATGTTAATCTTCATCCTAGCATGGTTAATTAAAGCAAACAACCTCTGACAGGACACGTGGGCGGTGGCTTGATATGTTTATGAGGTGGAAAACAGGCTCAAGTGAGCTTGATAAGAAGGAGAGCCTGTCATCAAATACTGGCTGACAACGAGTTGGATGAAGAAAAATATACAGTAAAAAATAAAGAATATGCAATATAGGTTCAAAAGCTGTTATTATAAGTGAGAGGACAAAGAGGAAAAAAAAAACTTTGGAAAAAGGACGCCGTCTTCAGATGGATTACTCGCTCTGTACACAGTGAGCTGCCAAAATAAGTGCCGAAGCCGTTTTGGCAGAACACTGAGCCATTTGCTAAGAAATACTTGCACTGTACTGCAAGGGAAGTTTCTTGAGTTGCTATGAAGTACTTTTGCTCCAGTGTCCTCACAAAACTTGCATTTAGAATTTTTTATTCTTGGCTATATGTATTAAAAACGATACCATCATTGGTACCAAAGCTTATAAACACTCGATTATCCGTGTCCAAGTCATTATGCTCTAGTTTAACTATTGTTTTCAGCTATACAGGAGAATGACATAGTTACCAAGTGTCACTATGTAGCTGAATTTCCATCCTTTATCTGTTCATGCCTCTGGCTTATCCATGCTTCACGGTGAGTAGTACTTTACTGTGAAACGTGTACACGTAGTGCCTTTCTCTGGACTGTGAGCCTTTTGTTCATCGCCAACATAGATTAGATGGATTTGCATTTTAGGATTCCTCCAGTAGCATCTTCCTGAATACATTCCAGTGTCCTCTGTTTCATTATCGTTCAGCAGACCTCGGGCTTATGCGAGAGTGAATACCAATTACAGTTTTTCTTGGGAAAAATAACTCATTGTGACATCCTAGCTATCCTCTTTGAATTTATTTGATTATGCCATCAGTATGATATTACCTCAAAAACCAAGCCACAACCTCATTAAGAACATTAAAAAAGTTTTGATAGTTAGCTTAAAAGTCAATATAGCTGATGCACTTAACCTAACCACAACAGGTCCATAAGCTTTAAACACTGTATGTTTGAGCTATACTGCAGCAAACCAGCATATCAATGCCACCATCCATTAGGAGGCCTGTCTTTGGCGCACACACTTCCTGCTTTGCCTATCTGCTGTGTGACATTTAAATCCTAACCGTACTCCCTACGCTGTCATAGTTCTGCAGAGAGCACAGTGCGAGACATCGAAGAGACACGTTGACCATGGAGATCCTGCAGCTGCCTTTAGTTTGTGCTCTTATAATCAGTAGTCTCACATCAGCAACAGTTGTTCAAGATTTTAATCATGTGGAGAGATGCAAGGACTCCCTCTATATGGGGACTCCGCCGCGGGGTTTTGTCGACACCAAACTGAAGAAGATCTGCCAGCGATATGCTGACAAACCCCGTTACGTGACCTTGTACGATCCTTCTAAGAGGATCCCAGTTTACTCGGCTTATACCTTCAAGAAAACTGAGGGAGACAGACGTGTGGACTACCCTTGGATGTACGAGCCACAGGTTAGTCTTTCAAAAATACTTGAATTTTAACCATTGCCTAATGAGATATTCCACACTTGTTAAAAAAAGAGGCTTTCAAGGAAGCCAAAATTGGAAAGAAAAAGGGACATAAAGGCCTTGCATAAAGAACTTTTATTGGGTATCTTGTGCTATTTCTTGGCATGTTAAAGACTGCTTTAAGTTTTATTTCATTTCCCCAGCTGGCAGAGCTCGATGGCAATGGGAACATGTTGCCCTTCCCAACTGGCTACCTGCACATGAAGTTTGAGGACAGCCAGGCAGTGCTGGATGACTACTCTGATGTGGTTCTTTATGAAAGAGGTCACCTGAACCCAGACCAGCATCAGTCCAGTCCGCACGACCGCGCTGCCACTTACACACTGACCAACGTGGTCCCAGAGATACGAGAGTTTAACATCGGGCCTTGGCGAGAGTACGAGGAGCGGATCCGGGTGCGCCTTAACAACTTCTGCCGTGGCACTGCCTACATTGTCACCGGAGTGACCACCAGGGGCAACACGATCCGTCGCAACAATCAGAACCGCGTGGCCATCCCCGAAGATGTGTGGTCTGCTTACTGCTGCACCGAGTATGACCGCAACGCACCCCACGACGTTCGCGTTCTCTTCCCATCCCATGCAGCCCTAGCCAAAAACGCCAAAGAGGGCAACAGCATCCACGAGATGACAGTCCTGGAGCTTGAAATGTTTCTGAGAAATAACATCGAAGTCGACACCAACCTTCAGATCTTCTACGACAACTGTGTCTCTCCCTCACCCCTTCCTCTTTATCTGCAGCACACCATCTGAATGCTATCTCAGCTACATCCTCTGTGTGCATATGGGTTTAGCCTAACAGCAGCCATTAACAGTAATAAAAACAATGATAGCAGAAGTAAGGTAATTCAAATTTTGTCCTGCAAGATATTATCTAGGAAAGGATTTCGTATCAGAATAAAATGAAATGTTCTTCATTCAATAAAAATGTTCTGGGTGATGGTTTTCAGGCTTTAGCGGAGGACTACTCTATTTAGAAAAGGATTGCAATACTGTTATGTAATCTTGTGTGGAAGGCTATGGGAATTGGCTCATTTAATAAATTGCCCTAATCTAATATCCCAAACTGAGTTTGTGTTGCTTTTGTGTAAAATACTAATCTTTGAACCCCACTTTCAAAAGTATGTGGACACATTTGCGTAAAAAGTTTTCAGTAAGGCTATCATTAACTTTGGCATTAATCCGGATGCAGATACATGAACTTTTCAAAAAGGATTCTTTACCCGAATTTTCAGCTTTTGCAGAGGCATTCATTATCAGACTGCTCTTGTTTTAAAGGTGACAGCAAAAAGAATCAGAAATGTGCTTTCAGACATAAAGGCTCCTCTTACACTACAACAGCTGTCCACTGGAGTCATTTACTTGAAATTCTTGTAAAATGCCAAAGAAAGGGTGTTGTTAGATCAGAAATTGCCTCCCTGTGGTATATTGTGGAGCAAGTTTCATTGTCTGTCCAGATATAAAAACTGGATTTAACTTTTATGGGTGTCTGTTGGTCTACAAATAATAAAAGACTTTTGAATATATATATGTTTTTTTAAACCCACATTTGTAGTAAAGTTCTCAAATTGAAAACCAGAACTATAACAATCTAAATTTGATCATTCTGAGGACATTCAAAAAACAAGGCAGAGCTCTGTGTTGGTAAAGATATCCTCATGCCCTTTAAAAAAAAGTTTGAAGGGGTCCCCAAAAATTCCAACCCAAAGCCGCCAACCAAGGGAAAAAAAAAAAAAAACTAAGGGTCAAAAAAAAACAACCAAAAAGAAAATCAAAAAACAAAAAAACCGAAAATAAAATAAAAAGCAACCAAAACCCCGGAGATATGTATTTATGAATTATACTAAACCTTGTGGGGTGTATTCATTAAAGCAGTTGTTAAAGTATAAATAAGGATGTGGTGTTTCAGATAAAAGAAATGATGAAGATGATGTTTAGTAAACCTGTTAAATATATTGTATACCAGTTTGAGTTCTCAGGCTTTTCATTATGGAATTCCTATATATTGATCCAAAACTGTTGAACACAGAAGCCTGTACACAGCTGCAGGAAACATTATGCGCAACAATAATCTGTCCTTTTTGTTTGTCCACTGTAAAGATTTCGAGGGGTTTCACTTACAGTGCCAAAAGTGGAATTGGAAAACAGATGATCAGTTGATTGGAGTATAAATCTGACTGCGGAGATGTAAAAATAGAAGCAACAAGTTCTTAAACCATTTACTGACCGCTGATACCAAAGAAATTTACCTTTGGCAAAGGAGGTTTTATTTTCACATAAGGACCTGAATGAATGGAAAGCGTTCTGCTAGCTTTATCCAACTAAAGTAGTGCATTAGTCTAGTGTATTTGCTGTAATAACAAATTATTGTGTACTAGCAGCTGAATAAACAGATGAGAGGACAGTTCCTAGCATGAAACCCTCACTGCCAAGTTCTGCCAGGCTTTGAAATTAGAATTATTTGGATGTGAATGAACTGAACCACAATCAGAGCTCAGTTTGTGTTCATTCCTGTTTATTTAACATAATGATGAGTAGCCTTATACTTTTAAGAAGAAGGTTTCATCAGCTATTGATGGTGTGGTGAGACTGGAAGCATTACTGCAAAAATGAACCAGAGTTTTTTTTTTTTCTTCAAATGGCGGATACCAGTAGGACATTTCCACGAGGAATCCGAATATTACACAACCATATCTCTGCTTGATGAGCATTCTGCAAAACCAAGCCAGCGAAAGGCAATGGTTTTTACACCATGTGTGCTGGATAAGCATTGGTTTATCTACCAGAATGCACAGAATTAACTGGAGCTCTAATTTTGGTGCATGTGTGGCACGGCTCGGGAGTGTTGTGGCAGAGCTAAAACATGTCAAAGAATTGTGTTTTATTTTTCGACTTGGGTACTATGCTGCCACACACTGTAATCTATCATAATGAAAATCTTCTTTGCAACTAAGAAGTAATATGATGGTTATGATAGTCTCATCATCATTATGTTTGAATAAAGCAGAAATCAGGGTTGAAGAAATCAGGTAGAGGCTGTGTGATGTAGTTGGGGAATGAGAAATGAGCAGGGAGGGAGACACTGAAGGTTGGTTTTAAGGTATATGACGAATAAAGAGTCCTCAAAGTTGGAGACACTCCATTCTATGTCCCCAAGGGATGGGAAAAAGCACATTACCCTCTGAGGTGAAGTTAAATCAAGGCATATTGAAATGGCTCTAGGCACTTATTTGGGCAGTTATTTTGAAGCACATTTTTAAATGAACTTTGTCACAAACTGGACCACACAGGCACGACAGAAAAGGAGATGCACACAAATGCCACTTAGCAAACTGCTCCTTTGAAATTAAAGAAAAAATGAAAGAACTTCAACCAACCATGGTGAGTGATGTCAATACTGGCAATGATGTGAGTGGACATTCTACATATATAGAATTACCTGTTAAATCTTTTTCGAAAAATGCTTTAAAAAATTAGCTGACTTCATCCTCTTCCCCTATTTGGCTTTATGGAAGTCTTACTTATCTTACTATCTAAAATTCTAAAAAGTGCTACTACTTTTCAATTCTTCTGCAGATTTCAATTAAGAATTCTATGAGTGCAACATCTCTCTGCTGCAATACCCCTGGCCAAGATCACTAACACTACAGTGTAGAAAGAGGACATCAGCATCATCAGGTACAGTGGAAAACAGGACTGTCGTCAGTATGTGTCACAAATGACTCACTGGAGAGGCAGCTGAATGACACCGAGGACAGTTACACCACAGAACTGGCCACCCTGCAAGTACAAAAACACGAGACAGGGAAACAGACTTGTGTCCGAAGTCTTTAAATAAAATACTTATGTAACCTGGAAACACCCTAAAGAAAATCAAGTAGTTTCTTGGTACCAGAAACAGAAAGGAAACAATGAAACACTCTGAAAAATATAGCTAAAAGAAGACATAAAATGCTAGGTGACTACAGATGAAAAACTAGCCGTACGCTAAACCTGATACTGTCAGGTGTGGGGTGGAGGCGAGGAAGAAGGAACCCAAACGCAGGACTCACAGGTAGGTGAAGACTGGGGTTTATTGTGATGGCGTGAGCAAACAGAACAGAGGTAGGGAATGGCTGGCTGGACGACTGACTGAATGAATGAATGAAGGAAGGACGAACGGACTGAGTGGCTGGCTGGCTGGCGGAAACGACGACATAACATCAACATCAATGACACGACAAAGAACGAGTAGAAACAGAAGACTTAAATACACAGACTGATGAGGATGATAATGAGAGACCGGTGAGTACACAGCTGAACATAATCTGGCTAATGGCACGAGACGAGCTGACACAGGAACAAACAGGAAGTGAGACAGGCAGTGGAAAAATAAACCGAACATGAACAAAACTGAAAGCGCTGGGCCGATGACCCAGGAACCCTGACAGTTACAGGGTCACGAATGGTAATATTTATGTCCAATATAGATATATCATAATACAAATAGAATCAGAAAATAATGCTTTGCATAGCCACTTTGATAAGTTTAAAGAATACAATCAAAATGTTGGACTGGAAGAAGTGAGAAGGCAAAAGATAATGTTTTTAAGCACATTCCTTACATTCAAATTCATCTTAGATGTAGCTTTCTTACCAAACATACATTTGTTTTCTCCTGATTGAGTCCATTAAAGATAAAATTATATTTATCCACCCTGGTCTTGTAGGGAGTTCTTAAAACCTACAAATGACTGCAGGACCCAGGTGAAGTTCTATAGGGCATGTTTGACCTGTTCCATTTTATTGTTCTAGTGGGACAACACATGCCTTCAAAAACACTAGCAACTAACTCTGTAATTTTTTTCTTTCTTTATTTTTCTTGCCTTCTTAACCCCTTTTTAAAGTTTTACATTAATCAGACTCTTTCCATTGTTAAATTCTTTCAGCAGGAGTTCTGCATCTATTAGCCAACATTAAGTACTGTAAGCTAGACACTGAGCTAGCTAGCATGTAATTAAGCTAGCTTACTAAATAACTACTAGCTAAATAGCTTTTTTTTTTTCAACCAGACCAGAGGTTCTTGGCAGTGACTAAATCTGAAATCCAGGAATTAATTTTTACTCACTCTAACCATAGATGATCTAAAACATGGACGAAACTTTGAAGTTGAAGTTCAAAATAGGAAGGCAATGAGGAAGTGCTTTAAATTCGCATTTTATCTGAAGGTCAGCAGGTGGTTGTGGTTGCAAAAAACAGCTTCTGGTCCTTTCTATCTTGACTACTATAAACACTTTCCGGGCAAATTTATTGGCTCATTCATTCATTTTGGGTCAAACTGAATTAAAAACAAACAAACAAACAAACAAACAAAACTGCTCATGGCCTACTAATTTGTAAATCATAAACTGGAAGCCAATGACAATGCAGATTTACAGTTACACCTGCCTGTCCTTGCCACATCCAATTATTTTTACAACAGTGGAAACAATAGCAGAAATGCTTCTCTCCAGACTTCAAAATGGACTTCGGAAACTTCACATCAGAGTAACTAACATCTTTCATACACTAAGGCTAAAATGACGCCATGTTTTGTCTTTCTGTAAATTAGAATTTGCCTGCTAACGCAATACTTAAATACTAGGAAGCCAAGTTGTGTTCACATGCTGCAGAATTCCTCTGCCACCTGGTGGCCAAACCACAAACACCTTTTTAGCAGTACAAACCCAGCCATGTCATAAAAGCGATGGCACAGCATTTGTTTAAGAATGTCTTTTAATGTTTTCCAGTTCAGATACACAACATACAGTGTGTAATAGCCTCTATTTGAAATAGAAATATTAACTTTAATTCTTTCAACCCCTTCTGGTCATTATGCTCTCTCACAGTCTCTTGAGCCTCAAGCAGGTTTTACTGAATCAAATGAAACAGACAAACAGGTGCAAGCCTTCACTTTACCTTTCTGGCATTAAATCTTATATAAGAAGAAGAAGATATTTGGATCAGTGTAATACTTTCTCCCCTTACCTTAAGCCAACATCAAAACTGTAGTGTAAACATGTAAACTTGGTGAGTGTGCTTCCGTTATCTGTTGGCTCGTCCAAATCCCTTGTTTCCAAAAAAGAAGGAAAAAAGAAAGAAGGAAAGAAAAACACACATTTTCTTATGCTGTGGCTAACTTAAACTCACTAACAAACAGCTGGATCGATAATCCCCAAAATTCAATGTGCAGACAAGATTGCAAAAAGGTACTAGAGTTTGAAATTAGACTAAAAGAATACAAAGGATTTCACAACTTCCCAATTACAGGTTATACTGTATGACAATGCCCGAGACAATGTGAGACACTAACAAGTAAATTCAACAGCATCACAAAGAAAAATAAAAAAAATAATCTTTTTTTTCCTATTTTTGAGCATATTTAAAGAACTAACATGTTGTTTTTTCCAAGCCTCATTTCACAAATCTTCTCAATTTCCTCTTTTTTCGTGTGTTCTCCGCAGCTGTTCTTTGGCTTTTCTTTTTCTTTTTTTTAAACCAATGAAGGGATTCATTTCACTCAAAAGCTGCCTTCATGATTGATGGAATAGTGTCAGGCCTGTACGTCACATTTTAGGCAAGACTATTTTTATCACAATCTATGCGAACCTGAGCCGTAGACATTCCTTTTTCATGTTCATGCTGCCCTCAACCACGCTGTGCCCATACAACCTACTGGAACCTGACCTTGAGTTCAAGGAAACAAAGGAGAATCGAACATATTTGAAAACCATGTAAGTCACCGAAACTTGCACCTGTTGTCACAAAGAAAAGATCCGGCCAGTCAGTCAAACCAAACGACAAACATAATATTTACAAATTCCAGTTTTGTTCGCTTACACTTAAAAAAATGTACAGTTTGTTTTTATGTGTTGTTGGGTTCTTTTTTTTTCCTTTTTTTGTTTTTTTTTGGGGGTTCTTTTTTTGTTGTTGTTGTTGTTGTTCTTTTGTCCTCGCAGCTTGCTCCAGTCCAGCGTGAGGGATGGCAGTCTGGCTCCAGAGTGTGGTTATCCTAAGCAGACGGGACATCACAAGGAAGGAGGGGGACAAGAGAGGAAGAGGACGGGGGATCCTGCTCACCTTGCGTTCACGGTTTATGTTGTGTGAGTAATGTCTGTTAAACTGGGTTTTCAGAATGTATCCTCTGCGCACTGACGGATCGTACTGTCGCTATTTTTGTCATCTGCACCGTGTTTGTCCAGCGTTTGTCCTAATGTCACCGTTTCTGTTTAGTTTGCTTTGTTTTTTTTGTTTTGTTTTTATCCCCCTCCTCCTCATTGTCCAGAGTGTGACCCGTGTCCGTGTTGGATTGTGCGAAAGATGTGAAACGCGCATACAAGGCTCTCTCACCTTTTTTTTTTTTGACCATAAATACATCTCAGCCTTTCTCCTGCCTTTTGCAAAAGCCAGAAACATGGGACAACAAAAGAGCAGACGGAAAAAAGATAACTGTCGGGCAGTCCTCAAAGACTTTGAAGCAGGAGGGAGGTTAATGTCCAGTCACAGACAAAGACCTTATTTAGACTCTTTGTGTAAAGTAGTCATTTCTTTTTTTCCCTAACTTTAAAAAAAAGTGCTATCTTCAGGTTGATTCAGAGACAGTGACTGTGCAAGCTCAACATTGCAAAAGATAAAGAGAAACAGCAAAAAAAAAAAAAAAAAAGGAAAAAAGAGGGGGTGGGGGTTAAAAAGGCTTTCATCAGTCTTTCCTGTAGTTTTTGCAGCACAGCCTCGGTGTGTTAGGGAATGAAAAAAATAAAGAGGAAATATTTACTCTCTTTGTTATAATCATAGTTTTACACAATATTCATCTCTTAATACTTTAATACTTTCTGAAGTACCACAAAGTGCAGCTGATATTGAAACGGGATATTAAAAAGAAAAGATTTTCAAAATAAAATAAATGGCAAATCATCAAAATGACAAGCTAACTTCTAGAAAAAAAACCAGAAAAAAATCCAAACATGCAACAAATATCCCACACAGTAAAGTTGTTAATAAAACTCCTTAAAAAAAAGAAAAAGAAAAGAAAAAGAGGATATATTGAATCTGATTTCCCTTTAAAGAAGAGACCAGCCACAGTGCAACATTGAGTGGAATTAAAAGAAAAAGTTTAAAAAAAAAAAGTGTGTGGTTCAAAACTAAAGATGAAGGGGTTGGCACTTTTTTTTATGGTAATTCCTTTTGTAAGATACAGTCAGGGTGGACCTCTCCAGGCGGTCCACTGGACGCCAGTAAAAGAGGAACTTTATCACAGTACTTGGCACCAAGAATGCTGGTAAAAACGAGATATCAGAATATCTTTTTTTTTTTCATTCATATCCTTACAATTTATTAATAATACATCATTTACACTTGTGTTTTTGTATAAAAGACTCCAAAAGGAAAAAGAGAGTCTAGAAGTGATTGCAAGAAAGAGGAAAGGAATGCAGATGGATTATGTCGATGGTTTTAATAAAAAGAGCTACAAGGGCAGATGCAGAGCGAGAACGAGAGAAGCGGTTAAATGAGCTGAAGTGGAAACACAGACAAAAGAGATTGTGGGTATGAAGATAAATAATGTAATGGATGTGATTAGAGTGTGTGTGGCTGAAATGCAGCGACTTCTAATGGGCAGCCTGGATTCCAGGTTGCATCCCACAAAGTGAGTGGGATTCAGTAATTTCCTGTACCGCCCCACAGTTGAGGCCTCAATCTGGAAATGTTTTGAAAGCAGCAGTGGTGAGTATGCACTTTTGTTTTTGGTTGGGGTTTTTTTTTAAGCGTGGGCAACTTAATCTCCATGGGATGCTTTATGTTATTCAGCTAGCATCACAACCAAAGAAAAAAAAGAAAAAACTCAAACAAACAAACCAGTAAATATATGTCTAATTAATAAAATCGCATTTTAAAATTAAAAAGTCGTGATTCTCTATCCAGTGGATTCCACCCCTTTTCCTTCTAGGCCCGCCAAATACATTTCACGCTAAACAATAATCCCCAAAAATCACAATGGAGGGACAGCTGTTGGGACAGAGTGCTAAACACAGGGTGCCAAATTTCACTTCCAGATTGGGCCTTTAAAGCTGCAATTTGTAAGTTTCAGGGAATCAGCGCTTCATGACAGGCAGCTTGTCGGGACATATGTTGCCTCAAACAAAGCTGCTCGCTACTGTTTTATCTTTTTCGCTAAATGAGTGAAAATGAATATTTGCATTCGGCGTTAAACATAGTTTTTACACTGACACAACAACACATGCGCAAAACAACCGAGCTACCACAATACATGTCTGACTGATTGTTGATGAGCCTGAGAACCCTCTGCGAGAGCTACAAGCTTAAAGCTGCGTGTTTGGTGGCTCTCCAAAGCACCAGATGTTGAAAGCGCGTTGACGGGGAAAAGCGGTATGCATCTAGTATGACGGTGTTTTGGCAAAGGACCTTTCTTAATCAAGTCCCCCCCCCCAACCTTGAGTTACGGTTACAGTTTAGAGGTATTTCACTGCTTCGTATCTTACAAACTGCAGCTTTAGTTGAGGGCTTAATGAGAAAAGAGAAAAGTAGAGTAAAGAAGAAGAGAAGGTGGAGTTTGGATGGAGCAGTTTGTGTGGTGCATCTCTGTAAACCCAGAGTGGGGTAGCAGAGCTTGTGCCTGGTCCTATACACGGGTGGTGGAGTGTTGGTGTGGCAGAGCATTGTTGCTGTGGCTGGGGATGGGTGTAGTAGACGGGGCTGGGACAGGGGGATAAGTGTTGAAGGGGTGAAGGGGCTGCATGCTGCTAATGGTGCTGGGGATCATGGTAATGGTGTTAGCTGTCATCAGTGGCACATCTTCGGGCGCTCGCCGCAGGGCCAACGTGTAGTCAGGTGGGCACACGGGAGGCCGCAGCGGTTCCAGGTCGCCGTGGACACCGCGGGACGGTAAGGGGGTCCCGTGCTCTAGCTCCACCCTCTGCTGTTTCATCTGCAGTGACATTAGCTCCTCCTCCTGACTCAGCGCTAGGTCGTTGTGCGGTGGGGCCCCTACGACTCCCATGCCAACACCCATGCCCATTGTCGTGCCGCGTTGCGGGGAGAGTCGGCGGTGGCGTCTCTGCATGAGTTCATGGCGCTTGTCCCGCTTATAGTAAAGTGCGGCAAAGGCCAGCACGTTCAAGAAAAGAAGCGAGGCGCCGACAGCTACCGTTACGCTCAGCTCAGTGGAGTAGTCCCTCGTCTCGCTGGGGAAGGGAGGATAGCGGGGCCTCTCTGAACTGTCAGGGTCAGGTTCCGGCGGGTAGGTAGAGACCACAGGGTGCCGTGTTGAGCGAGTGCCAGGATGAGGGGCCTTCCAGCGGCTGGTGCCTCCAGGTGGCAAACGGGTGGTGATGGAGTTAATGATTTCCTCGTGAAGGCTGTGGAGGTGCGGTACCAGCTCCAGCCAAAAAGCCACCTTGTTAGCGCGGTAGTTATCTCTGACACGGGGCTTCAGGCCAATATGCAAGTACTGCTTGTCCTTGGAGCTGAACTTGGTCCAGATGACCTCCTCAAATCGGTTAGGCTTAGTGTGGATGAACGTGGTGTCCTGAGGAACTGGTAGGTTAGGGTCTCTGTAAGACACAATTATTAGGCTATAAACCCAACCTTATATTTGCTTTGATAAAGTCAGTCAACCAAAACAAAGGAACTGATATGACATTTGAGGGTAAAAGAGGAAAGAATAGCAAATTACTAGGCGCTCTAAAACCTTCAAGTACTTTACTGCAGGTGGTTTATGCTTGTTGTTGTCATCCTTGTGCTTTTGTGTTGTCATGTACCTCCTAAAGTTTATAACCTGCCATTTTAGCTGGGATGGAGGCACAAGTCAGCAAGGAACTTGGCCTCTACAGGCATCTCTCTGAATCAGTGCAGGAGCTTAGGGATTCCAAAATAGGCACACAGGCAGAAAAAGTTGGATAACATGATGTTCTGCAGAAAACTTGTTTTGACATCTTCCTTTTGGAGAGGTGAAGTTGTGATTGTAGATGGTATTCTTTTGGGGCATTAATGCATAATGGGTTTTTTTTGGGGGGGGGGGGGGGGGGTGCCTGTGGTAACAGCAGCAGACTGGTATTTATATGGTGATCTAGTGATCACTCTGAGCACTTTATGGTGCTGTTTTGTATATACTTCAAGCATTCTATCTACCTCACATTCATGGCCAGTTTAGAATCACCACAAAACCTATCGTGCATGTCTTTGGAGAGTGGGAGGAAGCTGTAGCACATACAGGACCAAGAGACTACATACTAGAACCTTTTTTGCTGTGAGCCAACAATGCTAATCACTGGGCTGCCACAGTTTGAAAGAGCAGTGAACAAAGCATTGATTATAATGGAAGCTTTACAAAAACAGTAGTACTAGACCCCAAAAACTACCCTCAGCACCTCACAACACTGGTATTATGACTTCCATGATTTTTGAAAACATTCCTTTGAGATTTTAGTCCTTGCT